TGGAGGTGTTGGACTGGAGAAAAGCTTTGGGGGACAGAGATTCAAGAAACATTTTGGACAGCTATTCAGGTTTGGGATTACGATAATATTTTTGGACATATGCTTCGACAGTGGTATGCTTCCAAGTATCAGGGAGATGAAAAAGGAAAGTTGAGGGAAACGTGGTTGAGAGAAGGATGGCCAAAGAATGAGATGATAGATGATGACGCAGTTTGGAAGGGAGACCGCTACTTGATACGTTTCAACCATCCCAGAGAGCTTGAGGCTTGGTTGAATGTGTAGGAAAAGTTTGATATCCGCACAAAGAAATAGAGTCTTCTTGCCATTCTGTGATTCTGATCGCTCATCGCCCATGAGTTTGTCGCCCTATTTTTACATCGGTTGACAAACAGGTTTTGGGGAATGTCAAGGCACGATTTTTTCTTCTTTGCCTCCTCTTGCCCCCTTCCAATTTGCCCCAAAACACACCACAATGCCACAGAAAGAAGAGTCAGTCAAGGCTGCATCCATCAACAGTGACGAGCAAGACCTCGCCCGTTTGGTACGTGTATATTCTAACCACGAGAGAAAGCTAACTGGCAGCAATCCAGGGATACAGACAGGAATTCCTTCGTGAGTTCGGATCACTCTCGACCCTGTCCTTTGCCTTCTCGATCATGGGAGTTGCTGCCACCATTCCATCGACCTTCGATACGCCCATGTTGGCTGCCGGACCCGCCTCTGTGGTGTGGACGTGGCTTGTGGGATCCATCTTCTGTATGAGTATCGCTCTTTCCATCGCAGAAATCATCTCTGCCTACCCCATTTCCGGAGGTCTTTACACCGCATCCAAGTTTGTTGTTCCAAAGGAGCAGGTTCCCATTGTTGCCTGGGTTGTTGGATGGTTGAACACTCTTGGTCAAATTGCCGGATTCGCTTCCACTGACTTTGCTTGTGCAAGAATGGTTGCTGCCACTGCTTACCTCATCACTGATGGAGCGTACGTTGCTACTCCAGGTGCCATTGTGGGAATCTACGTTGCCATCTTGGTTTTGCACGGAATCATCAACACCTCCTCTACCAAGTTCATGGCCGTCATGACCAAGTACTTTGTCTTCATCAACTTTGGTACTGCTATTGCTTGTATCGTTGCCCTGTTTGCCACTGTTCCAGAATCCCAAAAGCTTCCTATCAACGACATTTTCTTCTCTGTCACTGACGCCACCGGATGGAACTCTAATGCTCTTGCTATCATGTTTGGTTTGCTCTCTGTCTGCTGGACCATGACAGATTATGATGCCACTGGACATATTGCCGAGGAAACCCACCGCGCTTCTATCCGAGGTCCAGTCTCCATCATCGCTGCCGTGACTGGAACCGGAATCCTTGGTCTCATCCTCAACATTGCTTTCGTTGCCTGCTCCAACGGCATTGCTCTTCCAGGAGGAACTGGAATGTCAACTGTTGAGATTCTTTACAACAACGTCGGCAAGAACGGAACTATCGTCTTGTTGATTCTCATCATTCTTGTTACCAACACTATCGGTATCTCTGCTCTCCAAGCCAACTCCCGCATGGTTTTCGCTTTCGCGCGTGACGGTGGTCTTCCCTTCTCTGGATTCTTTGCCAAGATGAACGCCAAGCTCCAAGTCCCTGTTAACTCTGTCTGGATCATCATCTTCATTTCCATGTTGATGGGTCTCTTGAACTTGGCTTCCGCTACTGCTGTCAATGCCATCTTCTCGCTCGCGACTGTTGCTATGGATTGGTCGTACTCCATCACCATTCTGTACAAGATTTACTACTGTCACATTCGCAAGTCTATTCAGTTTGTTCCAGGACCATTCAACATGGGACCCACACTTGGTTTGATTATCAACGTCATTGCCGTTGTTTGGACTGCATTTGTGTCAATCATCTTGGTCTTGCCACCTTCCGTTCCAGTCACCACAGACACCATGAACTATGCCGGACCAATTACTGTCGGCGTAATGTTCTTGTCCATGATTTGGTACTATGTCGATGCGCGAAAGTGGTACATGGGTCCACTTGGAAACTTGAGCACTACCGAAGCCTCTCTTTCAGTTCCTGACGAGAAGACTGAAAACAAAGACGCTGCATTTGTTTCAGCTTGAGAAACCATACTTTATAGAGTCTCTTTTATGTATAAGTTCATTTGGAAGGACCGCGTTTGTCCAATAAACCTCGCTGTATTTAAATGTTTCTTCGTTAATTTACTGACACAGCGGCCTCCTCATATTTTATGGTAATGGACTCATTTATTGCCAAACTCATCCTAATGCTAGCAGCGAACTAAAAACGGTGTATAAATACCCACCCTGAAAGAGAAATACTCTCCATCATTTGTTATGAGCCCTCTCATAGAACGAAAGCATATCAATCCCAAGATCCTCATTGCTAACACCCTTCACAACCCCCATCTTCCCCACAGAAGGCGCCGAATCATATCCTGCAAAATCATCAAACTCTTGCTGTTGCAATTGCTGCTGAGGGACCCGCTGCTCCCTAAATCCAACACAACTTGAGACAGCTTCGACAGTGAATGAAAGCGGTTGCGGCACACTGGCGAATACAAGTGGTTGGAGTTTAAGGTGTCGCATGTGTGGAGGTGCCAGTCGGTCCGTCTATCAGATGCGTTAGATATGCAGCGAAGAAGGGCGGGGTGGCTTTGAACGAGCCACCGATAATCAATGGTTGCTCACTTCGATAGATGTATCAGATGCCTTGCGTTTCATGCCATTGGAACATGTGTATGACTGCATGGGGTTGTATGTTGTTCCAAAGGCCGACATGGTAGTTTCAGGGTAATGGAGTGGAGGTGGGGGGATCCGGTTTCGAGTTGGTTTTGAAAAACAGATTCCTGAATTTCCCGGCCGCATGACTTTCAAGATAAGATCAAGAGGAATGGATGCGATATTTTTAAGTTGATAAGTTTATTATTCGCTATCACTTTGGTATTCAGCGTCCTTTTTGGGTGTGGGTGCAGGCTTCTTCTTTTTCTGCTTACTTTCGGCTTGCTTTTGTGCGTATTCCTTTCGCCAGAACGCGAAAGTGAAGCAATTGACTAAATCTCCTGCACCTCTTTTCAAATCTTCGTTGTCGTCTGTGCTCAATCGTTCGTCGAATCCAATTGTTCGGCGGTGGGCATAAAGCGGGTACATAGTTTCCGGAACAAACGGTGTTTTCGTTCGAAGACTGAGGCCGTGATTAGCTCCCAGCGTTTTGATGTTCCAAAGAGTATATGGAACAGAGTTTTTGAGAGCAATATGCTGTTATACAGTTATCGAACATATTTCAAGAAGAGATTCGCTTACAATTTCACCCGACGGCTTCAAGAATTTAAGAGCACTTTCGAAGAAGCCAGAAATCAGGTCCTGTTCGCAGTTAGTCCAATGGAAGGAATCATTGGAAGCCAAACCTGATTCGCCATTACATTACGATCTTGATCCTTGATGCCTACAAATTATATTATTAAGCTGTCTGTTGGTCCAGAATATATACCTAAGCCGACATGCGGAAAGTTGAACACAATAACATCAAACGTCTTCCCCTTCAACGCCTTCGTTTTCCCAAGGTCTCGTGCATCTACTCCGTGGAATACTTTCACACCACTCTCAATCAGCGGAGTGAGGTGCGATTTGGCGTCGGGATACTTTTCATGCACAACTTCTTCAGAATCATACGAAGTTGAAGTCATATTCTCGGGAGCTTGAACGTATATTGTTGAGAGTAATGAGTTTGAGAAGCTGAAGTTTCCCTCTCCGACAACTGTATTGTTGACGGTGTGGTTGAGAGTGAGATTACATATGATCAGGGCAGAAACACGTACGTAGCATAGTCTCATCGTGCGAGTAAGGTACTCTCACGTTCCTATTCTTTAGCTTCTTTGGAGCGTTCGATTGAGCTGTTGACCGAAAGCAGTTCAGTTAGGCCATGATCCGCCTACAGTCGACACTCACCAACAACAGGCCCACCTTTCTTTGCAATTTTAGGTTTTGGCTGGAAAGCTGATGAAGCCAAAAGAGTCTTCTTGAGCGACTTCTTCTTCATACCCATCTTTGGTTGATTGTTTTGTGGAACAGAAAAAAAGAACCAAGAAAAGGTATAATAACACATCGACTTTTCATAAGCGAGAACTACGAACACTCAAATCAATTCCAGATAACTCCAAAATGGTCAAACTCACATCATCGGACAACCAGACCTTTTCAGTGGACCGAATCGTGGCAGAGCGATCAGTCCTGCTTAAAAACATGCTTGAGGACGTGGGCGATTCGGATGATTCTCCAATTCCACTTCCAAATGTTACGGCAGCTATTTTAAAGAAGGTTTGTCTGAAATTGGGAGGATTGGATGTGGTTTGTGCGCTAATGATATGCTTGCTTGCTCCACAACCATTACAGGTGCTTGAATACTGCGAACATCACAAGACTGATCCTTTGCCAAACGCTGAGGAAGACAAAGATAACATTGTTTGTATTGCATAGTTTACGGTTATAGCCCTGAAGTCTCTGACATGACCTCCCCTTCACCACATCCAAATTTCACACTGCATCCAAACAAACAAAGGATTCTTCACGACGACGAGTAGACGATATTGAAGAATGGGACGCTCAATTCATCAAAGTCGATAATGAAGTCCTGTTTGAAATCATTCTCGCAGCAAACTATCTCGACATTAAGGCGTTGCTGGACCTTGGATGCAAGTCTGTTGCCAATATGATTAAGGGAAAGACTGCTCAAGAGGTTCGTAGTATTTACATTCATCTTCATGACAGCTAATTTCATTTTCACAGATTCGTGATATGTTCAATATTGAAAATGACTTCACACCGGAAGAAGAGGAGCAAATACGTCGTGAGAATGAGTGGGCTGCGGATGCATAAGTTGATTCTATTCGAAATGGCAATAAAATGTTGATGCAAACCGTTATGTTTGTTGGTTAAACACGAATTCAGACAAATCATTTCGAATGCAATTAACCTGTGAAGCAAAACTTGGGCCCCGAGGTGGACTCGCACCACCGCCCTCCCACTGAGATTTAAATCTGTTGCAATGGTACCACGCTCTTCCAGCTGAGCTACCAGGCCTGAATGAGGGCCTAGGGTGGACTCGAACCACCGTCCTTGGCAAGGGGTACAGGATTAAAAGGTGGGCGCTCTTCTTACTGAGCTATCAGGGCCATTGACTCGTACTACAAAACTGGCATCATAACGTAAATAAAAAAGTAAGAATTAAAAGGTTTGACTGTAAATTGCAGAATAGTGCGAGCCTGACAGCAGTTTGCTTTAATCTGCAGGCTTTCCTCTTCGTCTACAGTAAACCACCACTGCAAGAGCAGAACAATCTCAAAACAGATTTAAAAGGCATGCAGGCGTAAATAATGAAACCTCTTTTATTCTCAGAGAACAAGCTCAAAAACTACAAAACTCCACACTCCAAAGCTTACAACTTAGCCTTAGAAGGAGCTGGCTTCTTAGCCCATTCGCCTCTCAACTCAACAGCCGCATTGGAAATAACAACGGCATTGCGCTCAACGCAGCGGACTTCGAAAATCACAGTGGCACCTTCCTTCCACATGTGGATTTCAGCAGTCTCTCCTGGGAACTATCATAAAATACAAATATTAGTACATTCATTTGAAGAGAGAGACAAGTTAAGAGAACTCACAAAGTGCTTCGCGAATCTGACTTTACTCGTCTTGAAGCTGGCTGGATCGTTTCCTCCAAACTCTCTCAAGATGGTACGACATGCGATACCGTAACTGCACAAACCGTGCAAGATAGGAACCTTGAATCCACCCATGGCGGCCATTTGTGGGTCAATGTGCAATGGGTTGTAGTCTCCAGACAAACGGTACAAAGCAGCCAAATCATCAGGAGTCTTTTCAATGACGATCACGTCGGCTGGACGCTTTGGTGGCTCGTTAGCAGCAACGGCAGCACCAGTACGAATGCTCTTTGATGGTCCACCGAAACCACCGCTTCCTCGGATGAAGTTGGTGTACTCGTTCTCGCAGTACACTTCACCAGTAGCGGCGTCCTTGGTAGTAACTCCAATAACCATAACAGCGCTCTTTCCCTTGTCAACAATCTCAACAATCTTGGCAGTGTTGACAAACTTTCCAGAAACTGGGAGAGGCTTCACGTGGCGAACGAATTGCTCACCGTGGAGAAGCATCATTGGGTTGAAGTTGGGAAGAAGGTCTCCGAAAGGAACTTGCATTTGCGAGTTGAAACCAACGCAGACAGCGAAGGATGGGATGGTAACGAAAGGATCCGCGTTTTCGTAGACGAGGTTTAATTCAGTGCGCTTGGCGTTCACACCGAGGGCGTAGAGGATGACATCGCGTTCAGTGTATTCAAAGTTGACTGGCGCGAACACAACCTCCTTTCCAGCTGAAGCAGCAGCTGGCTTCTCTGCTGGAACATCTTTGGCGATGTTCTCAAAGTTGGCAGTAACAGCCATGAAGGACTCTTGAGTGGTGGTTGGGTAAGTGGCGCGACCGTCTTCAAAGTTGGTGATGCCGTTCCACTTGGCAGCGACATGCTCGGGAGTCAAAGTAACGTTGACAGGGAATCCGTATCCCCCAGTACGTTGGATACGGACCTTGGAGACCCATCCAGAACCAACTTCGTAGACACCTCCAGTGTGCTCTGTGTTAGACTCGTGACAGAGGAAGGCGACTGGTGGAGCAATGTAGTCTGGCTTCAAGGCTTCGACAATCTCTGGTGGCATAACTGTAGCAGTCATACGGGTACCAGCATTTGGAGCAATAGTGTTGACAATAATGTTGGACTTTCTTCCTTCCAAAGCGAGAGTGTTGCTGAGAGCAATAACACCAGCCTTGGCTATTCGTGGGATGAGTATTGGGTATAAAAATGAGTCAAAAGAAACTCACCAGCAGAGTAATTGGCCTGTCCAAAGTTACCGTAAAGACCAACAGCAGAGGTAGTGTTGATAATGCGTCCATACTTCTGCTTCATAAAGTGTGGCCAAGCCGCCTTCAAGATCTTGTAAGTACCTCTCAAGTGAACACGGTGAACCAAGTCCCAGTCCGCATCAGTAGCTCTGGCGAAACTCTTGTCTCTCAAAATACCCGCGTTGTTGATAACGATATCAACGCGACCGAAAGCCTTGATGGCGGTCTCAATAACCTTGTCACCGTCTTCGACAGAGTCGTAGTTGGCAACAGCCTTGGCTCCCAAAGCACGCAACTCATTCACGACAGTGTCGGCGGCGTTGTGAGCAGCACCAGAACCAGTGTGAGAGGTTCCAAGATCGTTAACGACAACTGAAGCTCCGTTCTAAACCAAAATCGGGTTAATTACACAATCTTAAAAACACAAAGTTGAAAATTCAAACCTTAGCGAACAAGTGCGCATACGCTCGTCCAAGACCCTGTCCAGCACCAGTAACAACGACAACGCGTCCATCAAATCTCAAGTTAGGACCTGCAGCATTGGTCTTCAACTTCTTGGCCTCATCCAAAAGTCCAACCCAATCAACCTCCGCAATGGTGGATGGGTACTGCGCCTCCTTGCTAAAGTCACCAATCTTGGCAATTTGAGTGGCAACAGAGCCAGGCGTAAAGGTAGCGTCTGCCTTGAACATAACACCCTTGCTTCGCTCAAATCGAAGTTTGGAGACGAATCCGGCACCAACTTCAAAGAGACCTCCGTTTTCCGTGGTCTTTTCGTGACAGAGGTATGCAACGACTGGAACGACAAAGGTTGGGTTCAAGTGGGCGAGCATGTCGGGTGGGAGGACGGTTTCTGTCATACGGGAGGCAGCGAGTGGAGCGATGGAGTTACAGAAGATGTTCTTCTTTTCACCCTCCTTGGCAAGAGTCAGTGTGAATCCGTGAAGAGCGTATTTGGCTGTATTTTTAGTTTTGATAAGCTTTTCGAGTAGAGAGTTTTCAGAAGGGATGTGGAAACGTTACCAGCAGCATAGTTTGCCTGTCCAAAGTTTCCGTAAATACCGGCAGCTGAAGTAGTGTTAATGATTCGTCCGAATCCTTGCTTCTGGAAGATGTCCCAGGCAGCCTTAGCAACCTTGTAAGAACCACGAACGTGAACCCGCTGGATAAGGTCCCAGTCATCATCAGTCATACGCGAGAAGGACTTGTCTCTCAAGATTCCTAGCACACGACTTAGTCTACAGTTTTCGAGTGAGGAAAAGAGAACAAACCCGCGTTGTTGATAACAATATCAACCTTTCCGAACGCCTTCACAGCAGTCGCAACAATCTTGTCTCCATCCTCCACGGAATCATAGTTAGAAACAGCCTTTCCACCCGCAGCGACGATCTCATTGACAACGAGATCAGCAGCCTATTCACAAAGAGTGTTCAGAATATTCGTGATACTCTCAACCCCAGTAGGATCAAGCACGAACCTTGTGGTTTCCGCTTCCGTCTCCAGCACGAGACCCACCAAGGTCATTGACAACGACAGAGGCACCTGTTGATATATCACAGAAAGGGCATTTGTCAGCTTCCCCCCATTCACACAATAGGGAACCTTACCTCGAGAAGCGAAGAACAAGGCATACACCTAACCAAAGAGAACTATTAACAACCACCCTCTTCCCTGAAGAACAAGCTGCAGTGGCGTACCTTTCCAAGACCTGAACAAAGTGAGTTAGCTAAGCAATCCCTTGAAAACACGTGGTTAAATCCTTGTTACCTCCTCCAGCTCCAGTAACAATCACTACGCGTCCATCGAATCTTAATTCACTCATATTTGTTCAGGTTGAGATAGGATGAGAAAGGGAAGGTGGCTCTCTCCGGTTTTGGACGATTTTTTGTAAAACAGAGCCACATGGGAGAAACCACACCAACGCGAAAAAGACAATGAACTGTTTTCCTCGTGGGATCAGCCATTTGACATCGAACAACCCAGATCACAACAATATAAAGTATATTTAAACCCGCTTCAAACCGTAAACGTAAAACAGGAAAACTAATTATGACGCCCTTAATTTGCATACTTGCACTGTTTGCACTACACTTGCACGAAACTCCAAAAAAGAGATAAAAAACAATAAATAAGGAACATGCTACCTCCACCCTCACCTCCTCCTCATTTCCAAGACTAAGCCCCAGTCAAAATCCCACCAACAAGCGCCCCAACATCGGGACAAACAAACTGCGTAACACCATCAAACGACGGCTTATACCCCGTCCAACTAATCCACGAAACCCCAACACTCACAGTATAAGCAATCTTCACAGTCCCACCCCCACCATTCGCACACTTCCCCACAAGAACCGTCAACGCCGGATCAGCCGCAACATTCGTCACCGGCGAAACAGCATTATACACAACCGCAACAGGAAGCTTGAACTTTGTCGTTGCCCCAGACCCATTAAACGTCACACCCCCACTTGACCCCGACGCGAGTGTGTTGGGAACACGCACGCCAGCGTCTGTGAGCAGTGTTCCAGAGAAATCAGCGTTCGAGACTGTTATGGAGATGTAGGAGTCGGATTTGACGGATACATCCACGGCAAGGTTTATTTTGAGTTGGAAGGGGGCTGTTGGGGAGGCTGAGGTTGGGGTTCCTGAGACGGAGTAAGGGGAGGCGGAGGTTGGGTCGAGGTATGGTTCTGAGACTTGGACAGATGAGATTCTTGGCCACTGGTTGTTATTTTGTTTAGTGGAAAGGGGTTCGACAATGTTGATGGGGGGGAAGGAGGTACGAACCAGGAAGTAGATGCCGACACCGATACCGGCTAATAAGACAACAATAATGGCACTGATGGTCCAACAACATCCACGACGAGTCTTGAAACAGCAGCAATGACGTACACCAGAATTTCTTTGCTGTTCCCTCTCCTTTCTTCTTCTCTCCTCCCTCGTAATCCGTTCACCACCATTCAATTCATCCGCCGCCATCAAAGGAGAAGGACCCACAGCATTATTTGAATTTCTCGAAAGAGAAGGAGACTGAGTCCCATACTGCGTACCACCACTACTAGCATTCCCCGTACTCAACAATTTCCCAGAAACCGAATCATCCGACAAAGACTGTCGAGCCGCAACCGCAGCAGGAATATACGAAACCCGTTTCGCACCTGGCGGAAG